TTGTTAACTAAAAAATGATTTAAAAATTATAATAATTAGAAAACTTTGTCAAAATGAAAAACCTCAAAAAAAAATATTTTACTATTTTTCAGAATTTAAAAACAGTAGCTTCTAGAAATTTTTTTCTAAAATAAAGTTATATAATAAAATTACTTTTTTTTCAAAGATTATCCAAACATAACCAATAATTGCCACAATTAATTAAAATACATCATATTGAAAAAACCTTAAATAGAGTAATAAGGAGGATCGATTTCACATAAAAATAGGGACATACTTCTAGAAAGGGAAACAAAGAAGAAAAAACTCTATTTAGTACTCATTTTGGATGGGATTTTATTCCTAAAGAGTTGTTTTTTTTTAAAATAAAAGTCCTTTTAAGAAATTTTAGATATTTGGATAACAACTTTTTGAAAAAACAAAAGTTAAAATGCTGCTTTTTTTTATAGTCAGTTGTTGGCTTTTTTTTTTGAAAAAAAACAGAAATTAAAAGATAATATAATTTTTTTTTGGAAAAAGATAATATAAATTTTAAAATACAATTTTAACCTTATCCTATCATATCTATTTTATCTCTCATTATCCCATGATCATGCTATTTTATCTCTCCTTTATTGTAATTTTATATATAAAAAGTGATTTTTTATTTATTTTAACATCCAAACAATTTTTTTATGTAAAAGTAATTTTCAGATCATACATCCAAACGTAAAATAACTTTACCTTTTATAAAAAATCATTTAAAAAAAAAACAATGCATAAAAAATCATTTTTTAAAAGCTCATCCAAACAAGCTCTTAGTAACGTTTATTATATTATCTTCATTAAACCTTTTGTATATCAATTTTAATTTTAAATTCATGTACAAAATATTTGTCAGTACTCAAATTAAATTTTCTCCTTAAACAGCCAATAATCGATCATCTATGGCGAATATCGAACCCTTACCACATTAATTATTTCATGCTCTACATAAAAGTCAGTATATTTTCCGCCCTGACAAAATCATGGTATGGTGAACTTTGTCTGATAGAACGAAAGGTATCTATGTATATGAAAATAGAACTTGCAAAGTAGACAAGAAGGATACCACGCACGCTTCTCCATTATTTTTCTTTATTATGTGTGGCTAGCAACTCATTAATTAAGTAAAGGCTGTTACAATTTCTTATATTTGCTTTGTGTTGGTTCCATTCCACTTTTTTGGGACAACTTTTCCTGTCACGTTCAGCTAATCATCGTCACTCATATCCAATTAAACTATTGGTTCTTTGGAATATTTACTTTTTCAGGTGCAAGTAATGGAATCCATTGGGGGATATCTACCAATCGGAGTCCACAGCCAAAAGTTTTTTAGTTTTTAATTTCATTTTTTTGCTTTGCCTTTCTTCAATGTAGACAAATTATTAAATAGCTAGCTGCATGACTTGATTGATTATACATTTTTATGTAATGGGCTTGAATGTATTTTATTAAATCGAACGTTGCTTGACTGAGGTTGCTTCTATTTTTTTTCCTTTTTTTTTTCAATTCATCCTAGGTTTTGAAAGGCACTATCAATACTTTAAATTTAAAATAGCTGAACTGGGTGCCAGAATTACAACTCTTTTTCTTAATGGGGTACAGTATATCAATGTAACAATAATCAATGAAGTAGAGGAATAAATTTAAGCGAGAGTCATAACAAGGGGCAAGAGCAAAGGAGGAATGTCACCGGCACTATGATTTTGTGGTGGCAACTCTATGACATAACAACTTAGCAATGATGAGTGCGTGAAATGTGCCTCTTCAATTGCTGAAGATGGGTATAAATAGATGGACTAATTTTCTCAATGATCAGCCATAATAGTTTTGCTCGTGCTATGTAAATTAAAGGAAGTGAGATCATCTACCATGAGAGTCTAAAAGTCTCAATTTAGAGATACTAACCCCTAATATAAGTCTTAATGACCAGGCCAATGGATTGAATCAGTGTGGCCAGTCTCATTTTAGATATTCTATACCTTAATATGAGTGTTAATGCACCACCTCAATAGATTGGGTCAGTGTGGCCAGTTCAATACAATAGCCTTCACTTAATTTTCGTTTAAAACTTTCTCCCTTCCTATAACCCTTAAGGGGATCTTTATGCTAATTCTAATTCTTCTGAGAGAATCATAACTTTTCTACATGCTTGATAAGTTATTCTTTTAAACAAGCAAGTTCTATAGTTGCTCTAACTGAGTATTAAGAATATTAAACTCATTCGCAAAAAAGTTCTTTCAATGGTTGGAAATTTCAGATTCAAATCTCATAGGGAGCTTTGTGACTCCATATGCCCTAAGTATAATTAGACGTTGCTTTCTCTTGCTTTACAATTGATGTTTTGTGCTTAGTTGGCTTACTGGTTTCTACATATGGTCCCCATATACTTTCACAATGAAAATGTTGTGAAAGAACATTCCCACGGCATATTGATATCTGTGGCATTCTCTTGTCGCCCTTCAGTTTTAATGTATGCAGAATTCTTAGACCAAATTATATTTTTGCTATTTTTAAATAATTTATAAGTTGTAAAATGCATGCTTGGTTTTTTTATCGATCAAATTATTATGAAATTCGCCAATAATATTTCAGTTGTGTGCAAGGAAATCATAAAACAGTTTCATGATTAAGTCAACTTAAAGTGCATCTAGGAGCACGGTTATGATCACAAGAATAGCACTATACGCAAGGACGAATCAATTCGTTATAGTACAGTTTCTCTGTTTCTGCTCGTTTATATATCATCACAAAACTCTTTTATTATTTGATCATCACCGTAGTAGTTAGTCACCCTCACCCCCAATAAATGGCTCCATGTCCACACCAAAATAAAAATAAAAATGGCTCCATGTACGTACCAAATAAAAATAATGCTTTCAAAAATATGTCCGGATCAAAATGAATATTTTTCTCTAAAGAACCATTTTACTAAATAATATGTTGGATGAAGCTTCGTATTAATAACTTTTATGTTTTTCTAATACGTCTTCTCACACGAGAACATAACACCTAATCTACTTTGACTTAATTTATCATGATATCATGATAAAGAACAATTTCACCTCACAGTTTGAGTCAACCTGTTGGATAAGACTATATAAATAACTTTTATATTTCTCTAACAATTTTTGAGCTTCCATGGCTGCTAATAGCATTAGTCTTCAACCTTTAATGAGATGAACAATATCAAAATGTTGAGATATTTTTGAGTAAATTAAGATGAAGAAAGTTTGGCTTAACACTCAACACCAGAAATTAACTGTAGCTTGTAAAAGCAAATGGTGTTTAATTTAATTAATTAACATGTAATTTCTGTTACATATGCAAGCTTTCCTTCAACACTCAAGCATCAACGAATAAATTGACTAGGCCAAGCATCCATCCATAGGGTAGGTGTCTCTTTATTTCATGTTACTATAGAATGGGGAGAGTCAAAACTTTTGATGTAGCCTATGTATTCAATCCAGGAGACACTTTGTCTACTTGTATGAATACAAAATCATCAGTTTATAGGTCTATAATTAAATTAGCACACTAATGTTAGGTAAACCTACCTGTTAAAATATACAAACTGAGTCAGGTGGGGTCCATTAAGTTACCCAAGGTTATGCTTGCCTTTAACTATATAATGATACCATCCAAGTCCTCTTTAGCCTCTGCCTTGCCAAAACAAAATCTTAAAAGTGAATCATCACTAGTGTAAAGAACCTTGGGATACATCACCCCAAAAGCTAGTTCAAAGGGTGAGAGTGTCCAAGGTCTTATAAATTCCACATTAGTTGCCCATACAATCAATGTGAGACTATATATCTCAACAAGTACAACCAAGGGAACATTGCATAATTTGGATTTAAACATGTTATAAAATGAAGTGACTTGATCATTTTTGAGTTAGTCGTTTCCAATTTTTTGCAGCATAAAAAAGAGAAAAACTCTTATTCATAGACATATGGACTGATATGCTATGATTAGGGCTCATGCATGATCTCTTTTTGGTCCCCTTGGTTGCTTCTTTTTTCTTTTATTTTTCCTTTGTTTAAAAAAAAAACAGAATTCATCATACATAATATATAGAAGGGAGTGTCTAAGAATTTTGTTCATATTTTTGCGTAAACGTGAATGCAATTATTCTCTAAAATAGGATTAGGACAGATGAGACCAATATATATATATGCTTGTCTTTTAAGAAAAACAAGTCCAAATTACTCTAGATAGGGATTCCCTCAAGAAATAAAAAAGAAAAAGAAAAAAAAAGTTTCCAGATGGTCATCTGTAAAAGTAAAGCTTGTGATTATGCTAGAAAAAAACTCCTATTTAGCGAGGACGGAGAAGGAGACAAAGGACACCTCATAATTTAAAGTTAGGCATCATTATTGAACTTTGAAATGCAAAGAACGCATAATAATTCAAGACAAAACCCTATTTTGTAGGCTTCCTATTTGTAGTTTACCGGTCTCTCCTTTTTTGTAAACTACATTATTTATACACTTTTTAAGTTAACCACTATACTAATTTGAGTAAACACAGTAATTCATCAGAGAGACAAAGACTTTGCTAGTCTGCAAAAAATTAATTTCTTTTGGATTGAATCCACAAACAGAAAAGCCTAATGCATAGTTTAGGTCTATCATTTATGGCAAAAAATTTCTTGACACTCAGTATATATACAACACTAGGCAAAGAGCACCCCTCAACATCAAGGGCATATGTTTCAAGAAAACAAAGACGAAGACTAGTTATGTAACAGGCGGGAGTGCATCCTCTTATGTGTTAATTAATTATATAATCATGTCATGTGAAAAGATTATAACTATATAAAGATGGATTAATGGTGATGAAAGGAAAAAGAGAAAAAAAATACAAAAATAGAAAGTTACAAAATTATCATCGTTGATTTGATTATTAATGATTAAGATCTTCTTACATAACATGGTCATGTTAAATAACACATGAGATAATCCATTTCCATAACTAGCCTAGTTATAGTTTCTCATCATCCTACGTGCCAGCTCTTGCAGCTCACCCAAGTCAGTGTTGTATGATCTTTTCTTATAACAAGCTTGGAATGAGAAATCCTCTCTGCTTTGCATATCTTGCATGCTCATTCCATCATTGATGCTGCTATAATCAATTGAGTCAACCGAGCTCTGAGGAGATATAGGGTTCATGTTAGTGGAACAAAATGGATTGAATCGTCCAGCTACATTCCCTGACCAATGATTCTCCACTTTCCTTGACTCCATCAGGTTCTGAGCCAGTTGTTCCTTCACTTGCATCAGTTGTGCCTGCAAGCTCGCTACCTACATTTAAACCAAAAGACATAAACTGTGTTAGAGAAGAAGAACCATGATCAATTAATAACATGACGGGAAAATTTGTTTGTATATTGATAACTGACTATCATATATTTATAGTCATTAAAAAAAAAATTTGGACTAACTCTTGAAGATTCATAGAAACCAAATGATAATAATAATTTATTAACCGTTGATCTTATTTGCATTGCACAATTTTATTAGAGATATATAATACCATTATGTAACATCAGCCAATAATTTAAACTTTTGATGAATTAATTATTTAAATGGTATCAGAGACTCGATGTCAATTTTCACCGCCCCATTTAATTAATAATTAATTAAGTCTTGTGCACAGATAAGTAAGCGTGTATATTTTCTACCCTTCAAGTTCAATGGGTTCTCGTACGAGGGAACATGTTAGATATATATAAAATCATTAATGTAACCTCACTCAACAACTTAAGCTTTTGGGCTGAATTACTTCTTTATAACTCTAATTTATTATTCACCTTAGTTAGTGTTAGATGCGGGCGATATAAATAATTAAGATTAAGAATATAATTATAACAGAGTAAAAAATAATCATGTCTCGCATATATATAATATTAAGAAATAAGCGGAGGATGTCGAAGGAAAAAATTATGGTTTCATAAACAAATTTGACACCAATTACTATTGGTTCAAGTGCTAAAGAACTTATTTTCCATGACCAGAGGTTTCAAGTTTGAGAATAAAAAAAATAGTCTTGCACAACAGCCCGTATAATGTACCCAGTAGTGTTCAAATTAGACTAATTAAGTAACCGATGAATTAATGAATATATATATATAAAAATAGTCTTCCACTCATTTGCAAAACAATTTAGCCATGAGCTTCTCCTTTATCATAAATATGTATGTATACTAGAAAGAGAGAGAGAGTGTCGAACTTGTGATGAGTTTTGTAACCGTACCTGTTGCTGTAAGGCTAAAATATGGGAGACACAACCGTAGACAGGGTCTCTGATACGAGCTTGGGCTTCATAAGCAATTGTAACCACAGCCTCACAACGATCATGAGCGGGTATATGCAAGAGCAACTTGGAAACGTTGCTAGCACCAAACACTTTATGGATGGCTGCAAATCTAGCTGGTCCATGTTCGGAGCAAAAGTAAGGAGCGAAGATGCACTCAGCTGAACACTTTCGTCTGAGGAACTTGCATGCCCCACATGGAGATCCAGAGCCAGAGCCAGAAGCCATAGTCTAATCTAGAGAGAAAGAGAGAGAAAGTGTTTTGTTGTGTATATTAATTACGTGTGAAACTAAAAGAAGTGAATAAAATTTTGAGGCACACGGGTACACTAGAAAATGGTGCAAAAATCCTAGGAATATCAAATAGGGTGTAAGAGGGAGGGAGTGAGATGGAAATGGTTATGGTTAAGGGAAGTGGGACATTGGGAATAAGGGACAGAAAGGGAGGGAAGTGTCTTATAATAGATGTGAATGCTCGACATGGAAGGCACATGTGTAGGGTTCTAAGGGGACATTAATTAATGGTAGATGCAATAAGGGACTGGTTTTTCAAATGGCAATGGGGTTAGACCCTAAAGCCAAGTTAATGTAATTTTGACTCTTTTTCAGAGAATTTCTTTATAAGCACTACAATTCATTTAGCATTAAAAACATGAGATGTTTTTGTAATTATCAAAAAAAAAAAAAAACATGAGATGTTTTGAAAGTCATATCAAAAGTAGGGTTCGATTTTTCTGCCATAGCTGCAGAAAGCAAATACTTATAAATAATTTTTTTTTATTAGAATTCAATATCGTATCCTAATAAATATATAAGGGTTTGTTTTTCTCATGTTACATAAGAAAACAAATCTTTCTTACCTGCATCATAAAAAAGTGTGCTACTCATTATTTTATTTTTTATTTTTTAAAAATAGATGGACTTCATATTTAATGTATTTATAACATGAGACTAAAATTCTCTTACAACATAAGATTTATTTTTTCCAAATATTTATTGGGACAGATTATATTTACAAATTTTTTTGTTTACAAACTACACCATCTTCTCCCGAGAGAACACTCATTACACTATGTTCTCCCGAAAGAACATAGTGTAATTTGTAAAAGTTTTCAAAAAAGTTTATAAACGAATCCTTCCCCATATTTATATGCAGGAGATAAATTATTTCTGCCACATTCTGAGAAATAATTTTGCCTTAGATAATAGCTCCTTCATTAAGTTTTTTTTCCTCTTTGTTATTGTTATTGATGCTTGTTTTGTTTTATTTAGGTTCATCTTTCCAATGATTTGGTTTACCAAATCTTACTTATAACAATTTGGTATTGTTTCATTCGTGTGCCTCTGCATTATGGGGTTAGTTGGTTTACTTATATTTTGTAATTCTTATTGACGAGTTGATTAATTGTTTAATTAGTTTTTATTTTTTTATTTTTCCGCCGAACGCCGCACCTAGGAACTGCAGTTCTTTGTCGCTTTTTGACGCTGCCACCTGCCGGTAAACTCTACCGACAGCTTTCTACTGATTTAGTGTTCATTCAATATTTATTTATGTTACTTGTCAACTAAAGATAAGATTTTTTTTTTAAAAAGTTAGTTGCATACTAAAATTAATATTAACTAGACTAAAGTAATAATAAATAATAAAAAAAAGTAATGATTGTATAAAATAATATAACAATATGGATCAAGAGGTAGAATCTTTGACACTAGTGTCAAATTTGAAATTTGACATATCATCTGAGCGTCGTTAGATAAAAAAAGATTAACGACTTTTTTTTTTTTTTTTGATAACAAGATTAACGACTTTAATTTATAAGTATGTGATACCATTGATTTTTTTATCTAACGACTATTAAATGAGATGTCAAATTTTAAATTTAACACTAGTATCAAAGAATCTTACCTCATATACTAATAACATTAGTTATTTTTTAGCTTTTGAAATTGCACTGCAAGGTCAAAATATGTTATCTGACTGACTGCATTCTTTCTTTAAATTAATATTTTTTCGATGGTTTGCAGAAATAATTCATAATATAATCTCGATATCTTTAAACATAAAATTTTATATTTGTCAGATTAATGAGGACAAAAAATAAAATAAGCCTAGTTGTATTATATCTTTTTTTGATAATGAATTCTCTTATATTAAAAATCACATGATCTGATCATATAAAAATTTTATACCTATTTCTCTTTTTACAAGTATTGAATAGAATAATAGATGAGATCTGATTATAGTTTATTAATATTAATGAAGAAATAGATAAACACAAACTAAACATTACGTTTGTCAGTCTTTTTTCTCCAAAACTGTTCAGATTTTTCTTATACATGCTTAGAAAAGCGTTCTTCTAGAAAATAAGAAACGTGAAACGTCCACTTTTCAAAATTATGTGACTATGAACGCGGCGGAGGCTTTTTAAGTTTTTATAGTATTGTTTTAAGCTTAGCCTAACTCATTATTTTAATCAAAGTTTGTCTATATTTTCTGCTAAGACAAAAGTTTGTTTTCATAAGTTGAATAATATAATTACATACTTGCAGCAGTGATAAACTCTTCAAACTTTTTGGCTTGGAAGCTAGATTCTTAAAAGATATGATTAAAAACACAAACGAGTACCATGCGTTTAACTGTTTGTGAGTTGGAACTATATATAATTTATTCACTGCTGTATAGGGTTCTTCAAGATTTACCTTCTATGTTTTGGTCTGAAAAAACAGTCCCAAAGATTTGTATTTTATTAATAGAGGTATGCGTGACAATGTAAAAATGGGGTCTAACTATAAGTAAATGTCAACATTGAACACGGTAATAATTCACAAATAGTTTCATTTTAGAGAAATGAGTATTGCACATCCTTCCTCTTACGTCAATTTTTTCAGAACATTTATATTTAGAGATTAAGTCTTGTATAAGATCCACAGTCTTGTATAAGATCCACATTTAGTGATCCCGTCGGCAGGGACTGGAATGTCTTGAATTGAAATGGTGCACCACAAACATGTCAAGAGTCATTCACTTTTCAAATCAACCATTATGAATAGGTAAAATCAAACAAATCGATCAGATTCAATTAACATTGTCAACAGAACGGGCCAAAACAAACAATTAAATTAACTTAAAAATGAACAAAAGAAAAAAATAAATATATGCTCAGATATACATTAATTCGTCACACTAAGGACTAACTGTATATTGTGGGTAGCTAGTGGGCACTAGTGGTGCAACTAGCAAGTACCCATGACAGGAAGAACAATATAAATGAGGCAGGTTATATTTATAAATTTTTTTATTTACAAACTCTTACAAACTACACTATGTTTTTATGGAAGAACACTCGTTTCACTATGTTCTCCCGGGAGAACATAGTGTAATTTGTAAAAAAAATTCAAAAAATTTATAAACGGATCCTTCTCCATATAAATAAACAGAATAAAACTGAAACATAAAAGCAGTTCGTCATCCGTGACAATGAGAAACGGTTGTTTGTATACAAAATATAGTGTAAAAATAAAAAGATACAGAGATTTATCGTGGTTCAGCCAGAAGGCCTACGTCCACACTGATGATATTTCTCCCCCTCTCAGTGATAATTTTGGAGGGGGGTTCCCTTCAATATAAATAATAAGTGATACAATAATTGGGCCAAATTATTTTGGCCACAATTAGAGAAATCACATGATTTGTTTTCCTTTTTATGAGCTATATTTGATACATGATTACAATCAATCAAATCCCCTACTTTATCTCCTCTGATATTTCTATCACTCCCCCTCCAAGTTGAGGCAAAGATGTCAATCAAGCCCAACTTGGTAATGATGTTTTGAAAGGAGCTTTTAGGAAGAGCCTTTGTGAACATATTTGCAAGTTGATCTTCACTTCGGATATATGGTGTCTCAATTATCTTAGCTTGAACTTTTACTCGAATAAAATGGCAATCCACTTCAATGTGTTAGGTTCTCTCGTGAAACACAGGATTGGATGCGATATGAATAGCTGCTTGATTATCACAGTACAACTTAATAGGGAACTCCATTTTCTTCAAGGTGAGGTCGTACAGGAGATCTTTGAGCCAAATGAGCTCACTGGTGGCTGAGGCCATAGCACGATATTCAGCTTCTGCACTGGAACGAGTTACTACACTCTGTTTTTTACTTTTCCAAGTAACAAAGTTACCTCCTACAAAGGTGCAGAAACCAGAGGTAGATCGTCTGTCATAAGGGCTACCAGCCCAATCAGCATCAACATACCCCCAATAATATCAGTGTGGCTATTCTTTTTCAACCATATACCTTTTCCTGGACATGACTTCAAGTAATTAAGTATCCGATATGCTAGATTTATGTGATCTTGTGTTGGTTTATGTAGGAATTGACTAACGTAGCTCACCGGATAAGAGATATCTGGTCTGGTTATGGTGAGATATATTAGCTTGCCAATAAGTCTCTGAAATTGTCTTGGGTCAGGTAGAGGAGTGGAGTCACTTTCAAACTTACCCTTTGTAAGAACCCGCTCCGTTAATTAAGGAAGTTAATTAATTAATTATGTAAAATTAGAAAATAATTCCATAATTGACCCTAATAATTATTATGAGGCTCTAATAATTATAGTAAGTGAGTAATAATGTTGAAAGTCGTTTTTCTGACGAAAAGTGCAGATACCGGTTCTGCTAGTCGGTATAAATGCGTATCGAAAAAGTATCCCAGAAAATTATAATAAGTGCATGATAATTACCAGAATAACATGTAGGACTTGTAAAATGAGTTTCAAGTTGAAATAATGAGAACTGGTGCCAGAAACTGGTACTGGCTATGAAAAGCGCGTACCGGAAAGGTGCTCCGAAAAATATAAGAAAAATATGATAATTCTTGTAAAATTGATTAGGTTAAGAATCCTGAGTTTGGGATTAAATTTCTAAGCATAACAATTAAAGTTAATATTGTGTGTTAATTGGTTACGTGACTATATAAGCTTAGTGTACATGATCCTAGGTCTTTAATTGCTGCCTCTACGTGAGTCTCCCTCTGAATATTGAGCCACCTTGCTGACTTGGTGCTTCCTTTCCTTCTCTTAACCATTTGGAGGCCAAGTTGTCACCTTTTTACTTGCTTCTTCTCCTCTTTCACCTTGTAAACACTTGAGTGAGTGTCTTGTCGGGGTGAGGTTCAGTTTTGATGAGTTAAGGAACTGTTTGGGGAGGATTTTTGGGGCTGATTTCCTT